GAAAAGAAGCCGAGAAAAATACTAATGAAGACTGCTGAAAATAGTAAAACATAAAATTTAGCAATTTTTTGAAGAGAGCAGATCCTGAAATTACCTCAAGAACTGCGTCTGAAAGTTCTTAGTAACGGTAACACAATTATGCGACACAATTTTCTCACAGGAGCTGCGACACATTTTACTGCGACACGATATTTTTTAGTGTGCACTATTCTGTCATTATGAACAAGTAGAACGGGAGTTCGAATCGAGTTTTCAACTTTCTTTGTTTTTTTTGTTGAACGTGTGTGAACGCAGAGAAGCTCCCGATTGAGCGAAATTTGTCTTGAGTCAAAGTTCAAACTTCGACGAGTCTGGATGATCTAAAAGAAAAGTTTAATCTGAAAAATAATCAAATTTTTTTAATTTTTCTGTTATCTCATATGTACTGGCGAGTGCAAAACAAAGCGGTTACCGTGCGGTGTTTTTCTGCACCGCTGTCTAATAAATGATCCTCGGTTAACTGGTGGTGATTTGTTGAACCCTCGGTAACAGTCGATATTTTAAAATACTCGCGACATGAGATGTAGTAACTCGATATTTTCTATCCAATTTCGCCTCAAATCGAATTTCTATCAGCTCCTTGTCTGGTTCGGTAAGCTGACTCGGTTTTATAGTCTTATGTACATTTCTTTGTTCAGCGAAATCAAGCACGTATGTAGAGAAACCATATAGAAAGAACTTAGGAAAAGGCAATTTATTACGAATGGATGACTAAGAAAGCAATTCAGATTCAACTGAGTATACTGCTTTCAAAGATAAGCTCTGCTTTCGGGTATGCTGTCTATTTTTGACCTCGATTTAGTAAACCCAGCAGTTGCGTTTTTGTTTCCATCAATTTTATGTTCTTGTTTATTATTGCAATTTCCTCTTTCGTACTTATCCGTAAACGATGATAGGATGGATAAATTGTTTCGTAAATCTTCATTTTTTTCACAAAGCATTCTAATGCTCCATTAAGATCATCATTTAGCGGATAAATTTTGCCGAGATGATGATAAGATTCAGCAATAAATGGATGAACTGACGGGAGAATTTGTTCATTTATGTTCAATGCTATTCTAGCAGCGTCCATAGCCTTATCATAATCGCCTTTTTTCAGATAAACGCCACTGATCTTTTGATATAAATCTGCGGTTACTGGATCATTTGACGATGATACTAGCTTTTCTTGAATTTTCATCGCTTTACTATACATCTCTAAAGCGCTATCATTGGCATTCATTGCAAAACGTTGCCGAGCTTACTCCACATTGTCATAAAATCATCAGATTCCTCAGATTTGTTAGCTACTATGTACGTTTCTAAAGCCATATAATAAAATTCTAGACTTCATTTGTACTGCTCTTGAGCGCAGTAGATATTATCAATGCCGGTATCACGTGTGCAGCAAATTCAAAATTCGGCGGAACAGCATTCATAAATAAATTACGTGCATGCACTAAATGATCCAATGCTTTAGAATAATCTTTTGTCAGAGGATAAACAAGACCCAAAAAATGATGTATGCCTACGGCAAATTCTGTATTGTTCACCAATAGGTTCTCGCCATATTGTTGTGCTTTACGAGGCTCGTCCATATTGGCGAGAAGTTGGCCAAATGTCAGTATAGTTGTTGATCCTAAGGCTTTACTTTTTGTGTTTGTTATGTATTCATTTGTGATCTGTTCACCTTCGTCTGTTGTTATCATTTCTACCGCCCAGAAACGTTCAATTTTGTCATAATTGACACTATTAATCTTGAATGTGCTACCCAGATCAAACAACACCTCTGCTTCATCTGAAAACTTACTTATTCCTCCAATATTGGCCAAAATATTTGTTTGTGATTGTATATTAACATTGATTTTGAATAGTGTCGGTATCTTTTCATTATTAGTCTTTGCACCAACGTCCGCATACATGTATGCTACATTAATATCTCTCGTTGTTGATCCATTTGTCGATATCAGATTTCCAACATTTTTATTGAGATTTTCTATATCAACTGAAGTCATTTTAAGTCCACGATAGAGTGTAAATGTAGTCACATTTTGAAATTCTTGTAATACTTTATATTCTTGTTCAAGCATTTGACATAGATCAATAATATAAAAACGAAATAAATATAGTAGATCAATGTCTTCTGTTCGAAGCGATTTATTTACTATCTTATAAATAAACATATCAGCTGTATACCACTGTATGGCTTTAGTTGGTTCGTAGGCATGTTCAAATTCATCGATATTTCGAAGTTGTTGTTTATTTCCACGATAATAATCACGACATTTATCAAGCATTCCTTCTTTGGCATGTGATGTTCGTGGGATCTTTAATAAAAACATCTTTTAACAACTGAAGCCACAAAAATTTAGCTGATTCACGGCTCAAATCACGAGCTGATTTTTGTTTTTTATTGTATAAATTAAATGTAGCTAATTGTTTTGCTACTAGTATCACATTTTCTTGAATACATTTCATTAGTTCTTCTTTTTCTGCGAATATACCAATGATTTTTGGATACTCTTGAATTAATTGCTCATATTTTTCTTTTCGTGCAAAATATAAATACAGTATCGATTTGCCGAAGATTATGTACAGGGTGCGTAA